ACACTTAACTAACCTCGTGGTAATATATCTGTGATAGATTGGTAGTAACACTTAACTAACCTCGTGGTAATATCTGTGATAGATTGCTAGTAACACTTAATTAACCTAGTGGTAACATCTCTGTGATAGATTGGTAGTAACACTTAACTAACCTCGTGGTAATATCTCTGTGATAGATTGCTAGTAACACTTAACTAACCTCGTGGTAATATCTCTACGATAGATTGGTAGTAACACTTAACTAACGCCATGCAATATGTCTGTGATAGATTGGTAGTAACACTTAACTAACGCCATGCAATATGTCTGTGATAGATTGGTCTAATTTGATTTCAATTATTTTCCATTTCATATATCATTAGTGTATCTTAGCCTACACATGTTTCATTAAGATTTTAGGGATGGGATATTGTCTACACGGAGAAACATTCGTCCAGTGATAATGACTTCTTTCAATCGAAATATCTGTAACCAGTTTTAAATTATCCGTTAAAAACACAATACCTTACTTTTCACCTTTAGTTTAAATATACCACAACCGTTTTTCGCCTTATTGACAAAAGGGCAAAATACGCGAAATTTCAGTTATGCCAGTTTCACAGTACAGATTAACTAATTATTTCATATATCTTACAGATTACCTATACCAAATCTGTTTCGCGTCAATATCCAAAAAATTATCGACATTTTCACGTCGTATTTTCCTTTTAAATATGAAGACATCTATTTTATTTATCAAAATACGTTATCAAGAAGAGATTTTTTTGTGTGATATGGACTGAACACACTACTTAATAGCAAATCAGATACCAATGATATTTTTATACACCAAACTCGTTATGTATTCATACCGTATTAGAGTTGAGTATGTCTTTTCTACGTGTCCTTGTGAAACACGAGTCAAACACTCATTAACACAAATGAATAGTTCACCTGTTTGTTAGTCTTACTCACTATTCGAGACATGACAAAACGGATAAATTGTGTCATTGAAGGACATAGAAAACGATTTATCACGGTAACTGTAAATCATTCTCCCGGCGCCTACTTTACTGACCCATAGTGACCCGCTATCTGAGTGATCATACACATTCTGTGGACAATAACATAACGGGGCTGATTGGCTTGAGACGTCACAAGTGACTTTCGCGCACTGGAAACACAAGGTATGGCCATGAATCAGCTAAAACTCATGTCCAGTTCCATATATGTGAACCTTATATGATATTTGATACTTTTTCATTACTAAATCAATAAGACCGCGTTCTTGTTCTTTAAAGAATAAGAGTTAAACAGGCAGAGACGAAAAGATCAGATGAAAAATATCGGTATTTGGAAAAAATATCAACAGTTTCCCTGTTCACAGAATAACATTTTTGCTAGTCATGTTACGCTGAAAACCTGATGAAACCCACTAGCATACGTTCGTCTTGTCCTGGAAAAGTTGTAGTGTTGTATCCGCGTGCACCAGCATCAGTCTTTGGAGAAATCATAACATTAAGTTGCGATTGAGTAATTTAGACTGTGTCTGTGTGCTAGATTAGGTTTCTATGTCTGAAGCAGAGATGGCGAAATTTCGGTATATTTTCGCGCTGTGCAATATGTGCGAAAATCCACAAAACTCTTGCATTTTTTTATTGTTTATATTTTTTTTTTTGCGATTTTATCGTTTCAGAAATTTGGAAGGTCTCAATTTTGACAATATATCTAAACCTTATTTTGTTAGTGTTTAGATACATTACGTTACACCCTTGAATACTTTAAATACTTCAGACACATCCTTACTTACATCTTTGTAGATTGTATCACCAACTGGACATCAAACTGACCATTCATACAGTCATGCATTTACATACAGAAAACATGCAAATTTGACGATTTTGAAACTGTCCTATTTTGCAAACATTACCTACGTACAAAGCAGCCACGTTAAATCACTTTCCCTGAAGATACTTACTTTGAAGATGCGAATTGTGAAATCATATACATACCTGGCTGAGGAATTATCATAGAGCAAAACGTAGCCATCTCACTCGATTTAATATACGTCTTCTTCGTCAAGTAACAAAGAAAGTCATCCAAATTGTATTTTTTTCTCTTTTATTTTGCTTGCCATTACGGATTTTCTCCGAAGAGATAGAGGATATGTAATAGCTTCTCGGTTAACATTAAATATATTTAGAGGATATGTAATAGTTTCCGGTTTAACATTAAATATATTTAGAGGATATGTAATAGTTTCCGGTTTACCATTACATATATTTAGAGGATATGTAATAGTTTCCCGTTTAACATTAAATATTTTTAGAGGATATGTAAAAGTTTCTCGGTTTAACATTAAATATATTTAGAGGATATGTAATAGTTTCTCGGTTTAACATTAAATATATTTAGAGGATATGTAATACTTTCCCATTTAACATTAAATATATTTGGAGGATATGTAATAGTTTCCGGTTTAACATTAAATATATTTGGAGGATATGTAATAGTTTCTCGGTTTAACATTAAATATATTTAGAGGATATGTAATAGTTTCCGGTTTAACATTAAATATATTTAGAGGATATGTAATAGTTTCTCGGTTAACATTAAATATATTTAGAGGATATGTAATAGTTTCCGGTTTAACATTAGATATATTTAGAGGATATGTAATAGTTTCCCGTTTAACATTAAATATATTTAAAGGATATGTAATAGTTTCCCGTTTAACATTAAATATTTTTAGAGGATATGTAATAGTTTCCGGTTTAACATTAAATATATTTAGAGGATATGTAATACTTTCCCGTTTAACATTAAATATATTTGGAGGATATGTAATAGTTTCCCGTTTAACATTAAATATATTTAGAGGATATGTAAAAGTTTCTCGTTTAACATTAAATATTTTAGAGGATATGTAATAGTTTCCGGTTTAACATTAAATATATTTAGAGGATATGTAATACTTTCCCGTTTAACATTAAATATATTTGGAGGATATGTAATAGTTTCCCGTTTAACATTAAATATATTTAGAGGATATGTAATAGTTTCTCGGTTTAACATTAAATATTTTTAGAGGATATGTAATAGTTTCTCGGTTTAACATTAGATATATTTAGAGGATATGTAATAGTTTCCCGTTTAACATTAAATATATTTAGAGGATATGTGATAGTTTCCCGTTTAACATTAGATATATTTAGAGGATATGTAATAGTTTCCCGTTTAACATTAGATATATTTAGAGGATATGTTTTAGTTTCCGGTTTAACATTAAATATATTTAGAGGATATGTAAAAGTTTCTCGTTCAAAATTGAATATATTTAAAGGATATGTAATAGTTTCCGGTTTAACATTACATATATTTAGAGGATATGTAATAGTTTCCGGTTAAACATTAAATATATTTAGAGGATATGTGATAGTTTCCCGTTTAACATTAAATATGTTTAGAGGATATATAATAGTTTCTCGTTTAACATTAAATATATTTAGAGGATATGTAATAGTTTCCGGTTGGACAATAAATATTTTTAGAGGATATGTTTTAGTTTCCCGTTTAACATTAAATACATTTAGAGGATATGTTTTAGTTTCCCGTTTAACATTAAATATATTTAGAGGATATGTAAAAGTTTCTCGGTTAACATTAGATATATTTAGAGGATATGTAATAGTTTCTCGTTTAACATTAAATATATTTAGAGGATATGTAATAGTTTCCGGTTTAACATTAAATATTTTTAGAGGATATATTTTAGTTTACCGTTTAACATTAAATATATTTAGAGGATATGTAAAAGTTTCCCGTTTAAAATTAAATACATTTAGAGGATATGTTTTAGTTTCCCGTTTAACATTAAATATATTTAAAGGATATGTAATTGTTACCCTTAATACCATATATATTTCATCAATACGATTAAATATCTCTATGTTTCGCGAAGTCGGATCCACTAATGAAAATATAGATATATTCTGTCATACGAGTGAAATATTTGCAATACAAACTGGAAAATAAAGAAACTACATCAGCCGATCCAAACAGAATGTAAAGCAGGTGTTCAAACATTTAATCGCATTCTTTGATGTCAAATAGTTCGACGTTGCGCTTGCCAACATTTTGAATTGACTGCTTATGTGATGTTCTACCATTGTATTATATCTGCTGAGAATTGCTCATACAGCTATATCTCTTTGCCAAATTTTAGAAAAACAGAAATGTACATTTGAATTATTTTATCTGAAAGCCAACTATTTCGTCCTTCGTTTCATTTGCGTTCAATCAGAAAAATCGGAGAATTTCAATGCAGTGGTTATAAAGCACTGCTCTGATTGGTCAAAACTACGATAGGTATATCATCACTAGTGAGGACATAAATTGTGTATCATGCCAACATTTATGATCTAAAAAAAAAAACAAGAAAATACCAACTTGTCAACATATTATAATCCAAACTCTTATTCAATAAAACTAGTGCAAAATATGACTACTAGAAAGATTTGCATGGAGACTTCTGCAAAAGAATACAGTGAATAAGACCATGTGTTCCGGAAGAGAGAGCGTATTCTGCTTCACCAACAGAATCCGCCATGTAAACCTTCTCAATCCAATTAAGTAATGTCACGTTCTCAAATTAATGCAATGTTTACAACAAGGGAACCGACAGGAAAATTAACGAGCATCAAACACGTCCATATTCATATCCCTCAAAGAAAGTAGAATATTTTTCTATGAGACCACTCTGACGACCACAAATCTTTCATCCACCAGCATCTTTTGAATTATCAGTTTTTCCATGTTAAATTAATATATTTCACAGGCAAAAATGAAACAAATTGCCATTTTCACTTGTGATACTCATGAAGGTACACGGCAAACCGTTAAAAATGCTCCAACCATACGAAACGAGTTCATTTTTTTCCTCTTTTTTACTGTAAACTAAAAAGAAGCTATATGTATTTTGCAGGATGGCTATCTTTATAAACATGTAAATATTTACTTACCGAAAGTCTCTATAATGATTTCCCCAAACACAAGAATAAATAGGATACTACGCTCCCTCATGGTGTTGTGCCTTGAACGATCGCCCGGAGCGATATCTCTAACACAAGCGTGGACTATTTTAGACCTTTAAACAAATATACAGTTCAATTCTTTAGTCCGTGTGAACTTTTCTTTACAGAAAATCAAGCAAGTATTCAAAGTAAGGTGTGACGCATAACCGATATAATAAAAATCGAACAGGGCGAACTCGACACTCAGCTCTCATTTATCGGTTGTCATATATAGTGTTATTTGAGACGGCGTGGTATTTTATTCAATGGGTGATCAGTTATTAACACTAAATTGACTGATGGTTCCATATGTTATTGTCAAAAGTACGAAAATTGTCCAGTACAATTCAAAAGCTTTAGAGTTCCTGGCGTAAACGGAATCTGCATTGATAAATGCGGTTTTAATATATGGAGCCCAAGTCTGTCCTTTTCTTGCGATAAAATTCGTTTGATAGATAATAATGACAATGATTATAAATGTATACGTGTTTATTTTATTTTCATTGATTTATTTATCTTTAAGGTGATAGCATTTTTATCGAAATATTCCACTAGTTATTCTATATTCTTTCTAAAAACCCAACTACCACAACAATTTTGACACAAGTTTTTCCAACTTACATTAACTACTTGTGAGGTCCCGGGAGAAAACGCACGAAGGGTATCGCCTGGATGAGCAGATGACACCATACCCATTTTCACGTCTGTTCCAGGAATCGAACCCCGGTCGCTTAAAGTATAAGGCGGATGCGTTAGCACTGCGCCACTCAATCACTTTCCGTGAATGTATCATTTATATGTTATAACCAACACTTTTACATACAAACTAAATTATCAGCCATGTCATTGATGTGATTTTATCTACTTGTACCTGCCGTCGTTCCTGATGACACACAGCATCTGTGTGCGCTAAAAAGAGTTACAGGTGGCCTCGCTGTAATTTGACGTCACAATGTTAGCCGTTCCCTGTTTCGGCTGTCCCATTAACGAATGAACTTTTGTTGGACATCGTATAGGTTAGAGTATTTCGCTAAATACAACCAGATAAATAATGATGAATATTGTCCAAATTAATATCGGTGATACATATACAATATTTTTTATTGCTTTATATGTGGTTGACGAATTTAATTGGATTTACCAGATGGTCGGTTACATAGACTATAACAACACCCAGAAAACACGTTTGTTTAACTATATCTAATCGCTTAAGTTTTTTTCACTTTTTGTTAAAACATTGTCTTTAAATGGCGGAGTAGTACATGCAAGAATGATTTTTCACGTGATTCACCACTCGGCTGTGAAAAGATGCATTAGTTGTGAAGTTGGTCATCTGGTAAGTAATACAGTGTGTCTGTAATTGTCTCCTGTGTGAACCAGTTGGAACATTGACAGGTGACCTGTAAGCTGTGTGTTAATTGATTCGAATGGGTGCCGTTTTCAGAATATACCTGTGTATTTGAAGTGCGTTCGAAGTCATGTAATATCATTGAAATCTATGAAATTGATGTGATTTTGGGATTGGTGCACTGTCAAGTCTGGCCTTGATATTTTGTTTGGACAATTTGATTTTTCTCCGTCACCTAAAAGGTTTCATGATTTAGGCACTCGGCATCAATCACGAAATCTAGAAGGTCGAAACATGTGTTAGATGCAGTTTAATTCATAATATGATTCTACTAGATCAAATTCTACTTTCTTATTGAAAGACGCGGTTCACTGACGTGTAATCTCTCACCTGATAATTATCTACAACTTCCAGATCTCTTGGGGGTCGATTTTATGAATATTTCATCTAATCAAAGGGACATCAAACAAGCTATTTTTCTGTCGTTTTTAGTGCAATAATTGCACTGGTAATTTTGTCCCTTCCCTACTCTATCGCCCTTTTTGGCGGAGTCACTGTGTAAACAGAGATAATTGTAGGACGGACATTCTGACATAAACCCAGTGTTTGATGTCTTATAAAAATTGATAAAGATGTCTCATGTGTGATATCGTCATTGATTAGTACACATGTACCTGGTTTAGAAATAAAATAATAAATCTATCTTACAGTTTATTAGTAAAAAAAAGTATTTCAAACAAAATCAGATAAAAGCCACCTGTGCTGTATATAGATAATCAAACATTCTTACTCCTCAAACTTAAAACAAATTATCGTGACTTTTGTTGAGATAAACTCTATTTACGAAGTTGTATGGCAATTTAAACGGTCTATCAATATGAATGTATATAAAACCTTGAAATACATACTGTGATATCAGTGTTAGTCAATTGTTGTTGAGAAAGAATTGAACGCTTGTATATGTGGCGTGTATATACTCATAAAAACCTCTTCAAACGATACATTAATGTTACATTTAACACGACCGTAAAATGTCAACAATATTTTTCTCTGTGTGTTTTTGTATTTGAGAAGTCAGTTACACTCATCTAAAAGGCATTTCTATAGCTATGTTGATGCTTTTTTATCAAACAGATCGAATTTTCTATCAAATAAAATCATACATGTATGTTTTATTTACTTTGATCTTTTTGATATAGTATTTAACAATAGATGCCAAAATTACGGAAAGAAATGTAAACTTTATAATTATTACCTACCTCTACCAGTCATCTAATTGCTTTGATACTGTCTGATTTGAGCTATTACATTAACCTAAATCTGTTATCAGTTATCCTATAGGTGCAACGAGTGTATTGTAAGTAAATGACCTAGAAGACAGTCTGTGACCTTTTTGCACTTAACAGTATGTGATATCACTCGTGAAGTTCGATATTGTACTCTGTCCACACAATTACGTTTCAGTTTTGAATATTGTTTACATTTGTTAATCAACCAGGATCCATGGAGCTGGTTTATAAAACTCGGCATCAACTTAACAAAAGCAGAAAAAACAAATCACAGAAATAAAAGTGAGACATCCGGTCTATATACTTATCAGGATAGTGTATTGTATCAGTGGAACTATCGATTCTTATAAGACATCAAAATGATTTTGCACTTAAATGTCGATACAACAATAATGATTTTAAAGTTATGTAAGGATTGTTTTTATTTCTTATATCGTGTAAGTCTATTGGTTATGTGCAGGTGAATGTAAGGAGGACACATATCTTACAAAACAACACATCGAGAAAATTATATACACATATCTCTCTACACATACGTCATAATAGCCTTTCTCTCTGGTATACTAGTATTGAAGATATTTTGTAATACTTGAATTTTTTTTCCATTCAACATCTCTTCGTTATTGTCAGTATCCAATTTATATTCTTATTTTATCTATGCCATACTGTAACACATATAATATATATACCGGTAACACAACTGACAAAAAATAACATACATATATATATATCCCTAGTAACACAACTGATAAAGTATAACATACATATATATATCTCCCTAGTAACACAACTGACAAAGTATAACATACATATATATATCTCCCTAGTAACACAACTGATAAAGTATAACATACATATATATATCTCCCTAGTAACACAACTGATAAAGTATAACATACATATATATATCTCCCTAGTAACACAACTGACAAAGTATAACATACATATATATATCTCCCTAGTAACACAACTGATAAAGTATAACATACATATATATATATATCCCTAGTAACACAACTGATAAAGTATAACATACATATATATATCTCCCTAGTAACACAACTGACAAAGTATAACATACATATATATCTCCCTAGTAACACAACTGATAAAATATAACATACATATATATATCTCCCTAGTAACACATTAACATTAACGGAACTCTTTTATGTTCCTGGTACACGCGTCCATGACAACGTCCGTAGTAACAAGTCAGAAAATGTATTCAATCACAGAAATCTTCCGAAATTCGTTTCAAAAAGACATGGAATGCTGTATGGATACTAGAAATATACTATAAAAGTAACTATACAACAGTAAAACAGCTGTAAAGATACATATAATTAATGTCGGGATATTAAGCATCATAAACAAAACTAAATACTGCATCGACAGAGACGAGTCGCTGGACACTCGGATAGGAAATGACAATACTTAATGTGTTGGCGTTGACCTACATTTAACATATAAATCATAAACGCATTTGTGTGAAAGTAAATTACAATGTAAATATGTATTTCTTACCTTTTGACGAAAATAACATTTAAGATATGATTATGCGACTTTCATCAACCCGCAATTGGGAACACTTCTTATTTTCTCGCTTGAGGAAAGTTCCGAGGGTTCCCGATTGATCAACTCCTTCATCAAGATTGTCGCGTCGTAAACACATTGACGTCATGAATTTAAGAATTTGTTCCAATGAACACCAGTAATGCAAGCATATATGACGTAACAGCTTCCATGTAACCTTTTCACTGCCACAACAAATTCCGAAGTTGACAACATTTTGATTTGATAACGTTGGATTTCGACGAAGAACAAGCTTGCAAGCAAGTAAATAACTAACTAACTAAACAAACAAAGAAATGACTAAAAACTTATAACCCTAACCTGTATTAAAACCACGGTAACCCTTACTCATCTGCATTGTAACCACGGTTACCCTAACCTGTCTGTATTGTAACCACGGTTACCAAACCTGTACATATTGTAACCATGGTAACCCAAACCTGTACGTATTGTAACCATGGTTACCATAACCTGTACGTATTGTAACTACGGTTACCCCAACCTGTACGTATTGTAATCACGGTTACCCTTACCCGTCTGAATGTAACCACGGTTACCGTAACTCGTCTGTATTGTAACCACGGTTACCCTAACCCGGCTTTACTGTAACCACGGTTACCGAAACCTGTACGTATTGTAACTACGGTTACGCTAACCCGTCTGATTGTAACCACGGTTATCGTAACCTATATGTATTGTAACCACGGTTACCGTAACCTGTCTGTATTGTAACCATGGTTAGCCTAACCTGCACGTACTGTAATCACGGTTACTCTAACTCGTTTGTATTGTTACCACGGTTACCCAAACCTGTACGTATTGTAACCGCAGTTACCCTAACCCTTCTGTATTGTAACCACGGTTACCCTCACTCGTCTGTATTGTAATCACGGCTACCCTTACCCGGCTTTATTGTTACCACGGTTACCCTAACCCGTCTGCATTGTAACCACGGTTACCCTTACTCGTCCGTATTGTAACCACGGTTACCTTTACCCGGCTTTATTGTAACCACGGTTAACATAACCTGTTTGTATTGTAACCATGGTTACCAAAACATGTACGTATTGTAACCATGGTTACCCCAACCTGTACGTATTGTAACCACGGTTACCCTAACCCGTCTGAATGTAACCACAGTTACCGTAACTCGTCTGTATTGTAACCACGGTTACCCTAACCCGGCTTTATTGTAACCACGGTTAACACTTACTAGCTGGATGGCCTGTCTGTACTGAGACTTACTATCTAAGCTTTCTTTACACAGCATACATATAAGATTAATACATATAAGATTAATTAATTGACAATTTCAGTATTGAGTTAAAAACAATCAAGAACAACAAAATGGTATTTTTTTCCTTTTATTCAGATAAAAAATATTAACAGATCATGTTTCTTTTCTTATTAAAAATGCTGATATGTTTAATCATCCAAAATCTCGTCTGCCCGCGATTACAGCGAGATTTAGGTGCACTTCCATGGTTCGAAATCTGTAAGGTTGGCGATGGGAGTGGGGTTCTGTACCCATTGGAGAGCCTGTATCTGGGTAACAACCCACACATCCTAAAATAACAAACAAATTGAATTAATCGTGGTCATGTGAAAGATATAGACATGACTTAAATGGGTTGACATTTTCTCTATTTCAACAATTCAGCATTCGGCATGATATTAAACCCTACACGATAATACATTCCGCAATTAATTTCGATTCGAAACATTAATGTTTTCATAACCTTGAAACGGAAAATTCATATTTTCATAAACTCTGTACAAATTTTTCATATTTTTTATTAATTCGAACACAACTACTTCTGCCCCTTTTCAATACCAATTAAGATCGAAATAACCTTGGATATAGAAACGTTAGCCATGTCATCGAATTAAACTGACAATGTACAAAGTAAGTAATTCTATTTGTACAAGTATTTCAAAACGTGACTAGTTCGGTACTGTGAATTTTCCTGCTTCCAAAAATTACAAATTTAACATGTTTCAACTGATTATCTTTCAAAGTTGTATTTACATTATGTCGATTTCTGCGCAAATACAGGCTTTCGCTGCAAGCCTTGCAATGTTTTTGTCCACAATAGATTTGTGGAGCTTGTTGTGTATCTATTTTTTTTTTAATTTTGAGTTGTTTTAACGATTACCAAATCATGATAACCAATTTTTCAGCCCATCATCATACATTCTTTACTTACATCAAAGGCTGCTCGGATGTACTCCACAAATTGTATGAGTCCCTCCAGTTTGAAGTCAGTCTTCATCCAAACGGGGTCTACAACTACGGTGTAAGGGGCACGATTTCCGTCGTAGTGTTTGACAAAACTACAAACATAATAGATAAACATAGGGAATGAGAAAGGACACCGGCAGTGAATTCAGCGGGGAAATACAACAGCATACATAGCACACATGGAATTTTCGAGGAGGTGACATCTTAAAAGGTAGCTATAGTGGCTTAAGGCACGGACTTATGAAAATGGGTGCATTTGGAGACATTAGCTCTATGCATTCCTGGAACAGTTCATAACAAATTTGAAGGTTTCGTTTGTGACTCATTTTGGACAAGACGAGAAAACAAGTTTTATCCTTTCATGTACATCAAACTTATCCCGAGGTCGCTTAACACATGTTGTACTGGCTCTCATGTTTTGTGTCGCTCCTTTGTAATTTTCAAAAGAACGTATCAGTCAGGGTCTGACTGTTTTTCACCCCTGAAGATAATCAACTTAATTCGTGTTTGCCTTCAATCTTGCCGTAAAATGTTCCAGGGATTAAGAGCGCGAAAGTGATCAAAACCCTTCTGGTATCGAGGATGGCAATATGAATTGGCTTTTGTTGTGTGATTTAGTAATTTCAAAACAAAATATTGAGGACCTCCCCTTCACCAATCAAACACGAACTTTAAAATGTCACATTCGAATGCAAGTTAAAGTAATAATTATACACGAATGCAAAATCATTGATATAATGTATGTTGACTAGTACTTAAAGGATAAACATGTCATTCAGAGAAAGAAGTTATCGGTACGTCACGTGACAGACACTTTAATGAGCTTAAATATATCGACGGATATGCTGATCATATACAAAAGCGTAACCAAATATGTTCATAATGTAAACGAAGAAAACAATTTAGGAGAAAGCATTTTTTTTTAACTTTACTAAACTGGAATAAAGAAAGAATGTAAACCACAGGCACCAGCATATCAATACACTTAGATGTAAACTATCAACAAGGTTGGAACTCAATCAGACGAGAATAGGACCCAACTTCGTTAGACTTGTGATTTTCAGCAGATCGTTCGGGATGTCTCGCTGAGGGTACACTAAACTGACAGTTAACTATTCTTATTTTTATTTGGTATCTAGTTCACTTCAAATCACCCCTAAAACTCTTTGTCAGACTTCATTAAACATCGCTAAATTGTCCGATTTTCATTACGGTTGATATATTTAAAAAGGTGCTCACCGCCAACTTAATGAAATATTGGCGAGCTTTTCATTTTCTCACATAATAAGCATTATTCTTAAATGTTTAATCCCGTTTTTACCTGTATCTGAAGATCAGTTTCAAGCTTAACCCGTTGAATACTTTCCTAAAATAGTGCGATATCTAGCTTAATTCAGAAGAATTATGATGTATGTCGAAAACAAGTAAGATTATGTAAAAAAAATGCTCACATCCATGAAAGCAAGACGATTCTTCTGTACATGTGCCATGATTCGAAGGTTTTATTCAGCTGTTTAACTTACATGTTATCCAGTCAGTCCGACAAGTGAATGTCCTTCATTAGTTATACAAATAACCCTTACTCCGATGTCAGCGACTCAGTTAGGGATAAAGACAACTTTTTATTTGTACTTTGTTCAATCCTATCGGAAAATTAATATTTTCTGCAACGGAGACGACCCGAGATAGATTATTTGATATGTACAAAATACAAATTACATATTACTGTGGACAGGTATTGGTGTTCTATTGGTCGTAATTAAAAGGTGTAAAATAACAAGGTGGGATAGTGGAAGACCTACTTGTTGTAGAGGATATCAAATGCATCTTTTTTCGTCATGATATTGGTACAGCTTTGGGGTGTTGCACACTTCTGATCATTGAAATCCAGTTCTGGAATTAACACCTGCCACCGACCTGAAAGTTTATGGTAGAATGTGTCTCGGCAAGTGTGATTCAAAGTGGAAAGGGTCAAGTCACGAAGTAGAAATGGGAAAATATGATAACAAAACAGAAACAAACAAATATTTGGTTACAATGTATGTTTCACTAATATCTACAGGTTTTTAATGTAGATATTTTGCTGTGATGGACCTCCCGTATGGTCTTCAGTGCATCAAGTAACTACTACAACGAAGCATCTCCTTAAAAAGTACCCTGAATGTTGACGAGACAAGAACGCCAGAAAACTAACAAATAAGCACGCAGAATAGTAGAAATTATCACAAAATACAAAGTAATGTTTTTTTTCCTTGGTAATCAGGTAAAAATCACTCGCCGAAGCATTCCCTATGCGACTGAATAGTCCAAAGGTTTAGTTTTCAACAGGTGGTTGTTCGTTTTTTCATACAATGATATCACGGAATTTCTCTCAAGTTTATATATCTGGATGTACAAATATATCACGGACTTTTTTCTGAAAAATATCCATTATACTTCACTGTTAATCAGATGTGAAAATATACCTTAATTACTTTCTCATGAGCATTGTTATCATGTCGTCAGTAGGCTTATTTGATTATGCAACACAAAGCTGATAACCTGCAGATTATAGGTGGAAATTCAACCGAAAGTGTTACTTTTTTATCCATCAATATTCACCCGAAAAACACAGTGAACAAACCATTACACATTCGTCACTTTCTGGACATGTAAATAGGAAACCTTGTAACTGTTCAATCTTAAAGATAACAAGAATACAGAACATTTACCACACCTGGAAATTTCAAGCTGACGGCCTGACCACCGTTACACGTGAATGATCCATAATCATAGTCATACGTAAATGGCCACTTGAGTGTCGTCTGCGAAGCGTATTCCGCCGTCCCGCAACTGGAGTCGTACAGCAACGCTTGGTCGGCGAGACCTGCAACAACGCCAGCGCAATCCTCGAGATGTCAACAAATTTTGATGATCACTAAGGAGACATATACATGACTTACAACTCTTCTGTTTTACTGTAAATCTTCAAAAAATATTCATTTATGATATAATTACCGACCTGATTTTAGGCAAATACGATAACTGGTCAAACTGAGAAAGTTATATGTCCTTCGGAGTTGAGAATATCACTTTCTCAAGTTAATAGATAAATTTCACCAATATTTTCGCTTTTCAAAAACAACCATTTCCTGCCATTTGATAGACGCGGGATAAAATATTCTATGATACGTTCCTGCTAAAACTAAACAAGACCAAAAGGCATTATGATGTTGAACTTAATGAATAATTGTGTATAACAATTAATCGTTTATCTAGGACTTTCTCCAATGAAGATAACCAGGAGGGTCTTCTTTGCTATATCTGTTGTCTTTTTGATGCTTTTCAAGTCTATTTTCCTCCCAACAAACTTTAAAACTGTTCTTCATTTATCACGGTAAATATTCCGCCATCTTTGTAGCAAATGACCTCAGCAGAACTTACTCTGACGTAACGTTACTATGTTTGGGTAGGAAGTGATGGTGTAAAATTGTTATACTCACCTGAAAATCTATTATGACGTCATGAAAAGTACCTCGTTTCAATATTTGGGTACGAACTAGTATCGCTGCATTGATTTAAAGTTGATTTAATTTTTGAGCAATGTTGGAATATTTAGAATCGGACAATCAAAGATGTTGTCATGTTAAAACCACGTAGAAGATCATGATCGCTTAGTCATGTATCAGTATATAAAAACAAGTTTTCCAAGTCATACTTTGAAATGTACAATATTAAATCTTTGAAATATTCAACATCCCATCGTTAAAATCAAACATACTCAATTTTTGAAATCAACTAAACCCAATCATCGATATAAAAAAAAGCAATTTCCGAAATCAACAATGGTCAATCGTTGAAACCAATAATGTTAAATCTTTGTAGTCAATTTAGTAAGTATTTAGAATACAAAATATTCGATAAATGAAATCAACAATATCCAATGTTTGAAATTATCAATGGTTAATTTTTTGTGATCAACTATATTCAATCCAGGTTTTGAGATCAAACAGCAATCAAAGGGAGGTAACTCAGACTCATTCTCAGCCAGACTTACCTATAAACATATCGTCCCCACCAGGTGACAGTTGAGGCGCCCGATATCCATATATTTCCTTTTCGTCTACTGGGGCTGTTGTGATTTTGTCTTTGACAGCTTTCATACAAATAAATAAGACAGACACTGTTAAGCATGACGGTAAATAGTGACAACAAACGTATGATAATAACCAGGTGGCTGAAGTCTTTAATTGATCTTATCTAAACGATAGTATGGTAAATGTGTTGCTCTGATAGTTATATATGTCTCTTCAAATGTTTTGTTTTATCAACAAATGTTAAACGATTTAGCTTAAAATATTCTATATATAATGTCGTAATGGACATATCAGTTAAACCTATAAAGCGGGGGAGAGATTTCATCTTTACACTTAGAATATAATCAAAACCGTTTCGTTACACGTATCAGCGAAGGAGAAAAATAATACAAATATAACCAGCCTTGTCATGTTGAATTTTGACCGAGTTATATATGTATCTATTTACTTATCTATATATACATTTCATTAATTCGATCCATTCTGTTGACGTTGTCGGAAGAGTACCGTCGATGGAGCTCACGCCTATCTCGAACTTTTTGTCATGATATGATTTCACTAATGCGTAATTAGTGTTGAGATCCTGGATGTAAAACGTTCCTGTGATCTTACATCCGTTTGGGTTGTTGACAACAAAGATCTAAAACAACAATTTCAAATTGAATTTCATAGTTCTAATAAAAATAATATTTAAAAATAAAATCCTAGACAGAAGATCAACTGTGCATCAACTGTATATCTTTGAACAGCATTCCTACAAATAAAATCTCAACTTATTTGGGCGATAATACCTACACACACATGCATATATATAGATGTTCATACTTACGATTTTCTCAGGATCTGCACTAAGCACTTTTTCTGGACCAGCTTTAGAATAAACATTGAACCTCAAAATTGAGAAAGTAAATATGTATTTTTATCACGATCTCTTGTTGAATAACTCACAACGGTTTAGCATATCACTGTCATAGTTTAGAGCCTGAAAGGTATGTTAATTTCTGAATCTTTCATGCGAGTGTTATCAAAGGTGTATCGAAAGGATTCGCGATGCAAATCTCATTTTTTCTTCACCAGAACTCAAGTATCAGAAACATGAAACTAGCATCGTGCAGGACATCACCTATACCAACACTCGTGACATTAATAGAGCTCTTATAGACACCACGAAATGTACTAATGTACATCACAATGTATCTGGACCGAACGGATGACATCTTTAAACTGTTTCCTTAACTAGACACAACAGTTTACAGGTATAGAAATTGTATTCCATAGATAGACACAACAGTTCACAGGTACAGAAAATGTATTCCTTAAGTGGACACAACAGTTCACAGGTACAGAAAATGTATTCCTTAAGAAGACACAACAGTTCACAGGTACAGAAAATGTATTCCTTAAGTAGACACAACAGTTCACAGGTACAGCAAATGTATTCCTTAGATAGACACAACAGATCACAGGTACAGAAAATGTATTCCTTAAGTAGACACAACAGTTCACAGGTACGGGAAATGTATTCCTTAAGTAGACACAACAGTTTACAGGTATAGAAATTGTATTCCATAGATAGACACAACAGTTCACAGGTATAGAACATGTATTCCTTAAGTAGACACAACAGTTCACAGGTACGGGAAATGTATTCCTTAAGTAGACACAACAGTTCACAGGTACGGGAAATGTATTCCTTAAGTAGACACAACAGTTCACAGGTACAGAACATGTATTCCTTAGATAGACACAACAGTTCACAGGTATAGAAAATGTATTCCTTAAGCAGAAACAACAGTTCACAGGTACAGAAAATGTATTCCTTAGATAGACACAACAGTTCACAGGTACAGAACATGTATTCCTTAAGTGGACACAACAGTTCACAGGTATAGAAAATGTATTCCTTAGATAGACACAACAGTTCACGGGTACGGGAAATGTATTCCTTAAGTAGACACAACAGTTCACAGGTACGGGAAATGTATTCCTTAGATAGACACAACAGTTTACAGGTACAGAAAATGTATTCCTTAAATCTCGCCGATCGATAGGACATCAGCAAGGTGAACTGATTTTCATATACATCTTAATACTACAGGAAGCTATATATATTTTAATCCTTTCATTCAAGTAAATGTTTCATGTTTCCATTTAACAATGGGAAAATTCAATTTATATAGCAAGGCGTGTCTAATGCTCGTTAGCATACCTGGTTGTTTCCGTGTTCTCATTAGGGTAAATGACATTACTTACTTAGATTGACCAAGATTTACATGGCGGATGACTTTGAGGAAGCAGAAGACGCTTACTCTTCCGGAACAACAAATCTAAATATCCTATTACCGTTTAGGAATATCCGTGTAGAGATCTATGTTGTTCACAGTTTGCCCTTGTTTAATTTAATTTGAGCAAAAATTGTGATCTTGTTTACCTGTTTGTATTTTTGTTTGTTGTTTTTGGCGAGTATCTATTGTAATACAAATGAAAGATATACCGTATCTAGCAACCACGAATTTATCTGACCTGTTTCTACCACAATGTATAAGCTCATCTGTAGGAGTATTTGTTTCAGCGTTATGATAAGCAAAATGGAAGATTTCAGAAACACACTGTTATGGGAATATCATAATGCATTACAAATCAAAGCAAATTAAACAACGAGTTTGTTATCTTCAATAAAACGATAGAAATCCGTATCGAAATCAAATTAATACAAAATACGATGTGAATATACTTCAAGATGATCTGGATCGCCTTTCAGCTTGGAGTGAAAAATGGTTATTGAAATTTCATCCTCAAAAATATAAATTTTTGCGCATTGGCAGGCAAAGTGGAGACAGAAAATATTATTCAAACAACGAAGAATTACAGGAAGTCTACCAAGAAAAAGATATAGGAGTAATTGTAGACAATTCTTTATCATTTGATGAACACATAAGTACACAGGTCAGAAAAGCAGACTCTATGTTTGCACTAATAAGGAGAACGTTTCAATTTCTCGATGAACATAACTTCCCATTATTGTACAAAACAATAGTAAGGGTTCATCTGGAACATTATATTACTGTATGGCATCCATTTAAAGTCAAACATATAGATAAGATCGAGGCAGTGAAACGGAGAGCAACAAAACAATTATCAGGATTTAAGGAACTGACTTATTCGGAAAGACTGAAATGCCTAAAATTACTAACATTGGCATTCAGGAGGATTCGTGGGGATATGATTGAAGTCTTCAAAATTACGAACAATTTTTGTGATAGTAACGCTGCTGATTTCCTTAAATTGTGGATCGACAAAGTTCAAGTTCAGCGGACAAGGGGTCACTCCAAAAAACTTTACATGCAGCACTGTAAACTTGACATCGGGAAACATTCTTTTTCTTTGCGTGTGGTCAAAATATAAAACAATCTTCCGGAGGATATTGTATTGGCACCAACAGTTAACTCTTTCAAAATTAGATTTGATGAACACTAAGCAAATCAAGAACTGGTATATAATTATAAAGCAGAAATTCCGTAGTACCTGGATCTGACGTCTCAAATGACAATAATTATAAACATTATCATTGTATCACCGAGACCGGTATAGAGGATCTTAACGATCCTGCACTGGTAATAAACTAAACTAAACTAAACTAAACTAAAAAAGTCCTGAAAAACTTATTGGACATTTTGTTTTGCGCCAGCATGCTTTCTGTCAAGGTTAAACTTCTCAATCAGTCACGTGACCAGAAGGTGATATATCGTGAGTGGTATATATCCTATATATGGTCTGTGAGGAGAATAACACAGGTGTGGTAGATAATTATTTACACACAACTAAATCATAGCATTACCGTGTCTTACCTGGTCATAAAGAGGTTCATATTCGCTATTCAGGGTGTAGTCCATTGAAATGGTAACGATTTGCGGAGTTTCCGCTGCGGTTAGTCCTCCCGGAATATCTGGATCGGAGAAACACCGGCAATTCGGGAGCTGGCAGGCATCTTTGTCACATGGTTCCGCGATCTGTGCTAAACCTAGTCCTACGCACACAGTTATAGTTATTAGGAACATCATTTTGTCTCTAATATCTCTGTGGTGTTTTCAGTTCAAGTCAAGCTCACACAGACACGGTCAGTGTTAGTGTGAATACCTGGTATATCTGGAGGGAAGCGACGTACAAAAGGTACCTTATCTAACATTGTGACACCTAAGTACTGTTGCCCGGGTGTTATCAGTGCTAGCGGCCCCAATATTGTCACAAGTGATTTTATCATAGTCAGCATGTACTTGGTCTTCAATGTGCATATGGGTGTAACAGCCGGATCTCAGCCACACCCGGTGACCTTGAAAGGAGAGGGAACGACGCCGTGTAGATTCCAGAATTGTTTACTGACGAACTCACTTTACAATACAACTACAAATAACAATGACATCCAACACAAGCAAGTACAATACATTATTATACATTTAGCGTTGTTGTTGTCTATGGGTTTTACAATACAATCTAGCTTACAATGAGAAATAATCGACTGACTTTGACTAGTTGGCATAACTGACAACAAGTTGTACTAGGTTATAACTAATTGACAACTGATAGCTTTATAGTAACAAATTATAGTATGACAACTGAATGACAAACATGACAACTAAATGACATAGTAGTACAACTGCGGAATAGTCAACAAACCCCGATGGATGACAGCTGAATAGGAAATGGAGTTGACAAACAACAAATGAATGACAACTATACCTACAACCTGAAAGGAGAGGGAACGACGCCGTGTAGATTTCAGAATTGTTTACTGACGAACTAACGTCAGACCCCAAAAGCCGGACCAATATTCCAGATTTCCCAAATTTCATGGAGTTATCTCCCCTTTGACCATAAATTTACAGCAATAGATAAATGACCAAAAAAAATTGGGGTACAACTATTTCTGAATTTACACCTCGTTACACTATCCCCTCCAAACTGGAAGCCGTCCCGACTTGTAAATACCTAATTAATAGTTCGACTACAAAAACAACAAAAAATAACTTTCTCTGTACCTTATTTTTCCGTTTCAGCACGAACAATTATGAATCGTTATTAAACTGACTTGACCTCAATTTGCCAGCAATACTGATCTCTATACTGGTATTCTACATTATATAGATTTGGCAACACTAAGATAGCTGTTTCGCTTGGCAAAACTTTTCAACACTTAACTATCAGATGGTCAGTCTGTAGTAAAAGCCTCAGCACGCAGGCTGATTACTCATGAGTACATGAGGCCTATCTGATACTAAACGACTACATTGTGGAAAGATTCCAAATCAACTTCTCTTTCCACCTTAACCGTTGTAACAGTCCTCAGTATCACCACTTCTGGTAAATAATAATTCTTATAGATATCTAGCAAATTCACCTAAGATGAGGTTCCTCATAATTTCCTATGCTAAACAATTAACTGTTAACCAAATCACTTTTCAGAAACGCACTACACATAATTGTTGAAGTCACAAATAAACTGAATCAAAAGTTACACATAAACCGGTTCATCGGTAGTGGAAATGACCCATACGCTACTGGTCGGCTGGCCAGGTTCATTATAAGTAAACCTCATGGGAGGTCTTATGGATCGCGATCCTCTGTTCGCGGTGGTTACAGAACCGCTTCCGTCAGAATCGGTTTCCGCTCCTGCCTCAACTACGGTGGTTGCGGTATCACTTGGGGTCTCGAAGTCGTCGCCTTCGGTGTCGGACTCCCCATCTATAGACTGGGAAACAGAAGTTCACTTCCGGATTCCAAAAAGTCGCTTTCCGACGGTGTATTAGACCGTTGATCTGAATGAGACTCTGGTCCACCTCGATGTCTCCCCTTCCCTGCAGTCCTTGCGACACAGGCGCAAACGGAGCATCATTTGGATTTAAATCGGATACCGGCAGACCCAGATTTGATACACAGGGACTCCGAGAATTCATTTCTGTTAACTGTTCATCATCACTTGACGAGACTTCGGGCACCACAGGTTTTGGCTGCAGCTTTCGAGGCCGCCTCATTGGTCGTTCTTTCTTTGTCGGCCCAGGGACCAATGGCAGATCATTGCATTGGAGAAGCAAATTACGGTGTAGTCTCCGAACTCCCTTGTCTCCATTCTCCTGACGCACTTCATAAACGGGAGAATCTGGAGCCATCCGTTTAACTACCACATGAACTTTGTCTTCCCAGTATGACCTGATTTTTCCTGGCCCTCCCTTCTCCCGCAGGTTGCGTACCAGAACACGGTCCCCCGTTTTCAATTGAGCACTGGGCAGGTTTTGGCCACGATGTTTCCGTGCATAATCCTTAGAATTAGCAGAGTTCTTGGTAGCAATGCGGTAGGCCTCCTGCATCCTGCTTGAACAACGTTCGACATAGCCTTTATGTGAGTGGTGCTCCAAATCATCATCCCTTAGGCCAAAGATCAAGTCAATTGGTAAAAAGTAGGAAAAATGGAGAGAAACCAGTGCTGTCATTGCGAGTTCAGTTGTAAGCATGCACCATCTTATTCAAGTGTTCTTCCAGTCACTTTTGAAATCCCTCGGTAATGTTCGCAACATACTTAGCAAAGTTCGGTTCAGGCGTTCACACTGTCCATTCCCTTGAGGGTGATAGGGTGTGGTCCGAGAGTGCTGAATGTTGCAATACTTCTGCAGACGCTCAAAAAGCTGATTTTCCAATTCCGCCCCTTGATCGTGATGCAGTCTTTCTGGAAACCCATATCGCAGAGCGAAATCATTAAAAATTTTCTCAGCAGCTGTTTTGCCAGACTTATTGTTTGTTGCGTAGGCGGTGGCGAAATTGGTGTAATGATCCACGATGACTAGGATATACTCGTAACCCCCTACACTTCTCTCCAAGTGGAGGTAATCGATGTAAACCATCTGGAATGGGTATGTATGTTTCAGTGGAGCACAGGTATTGCGGTGGGGTGGCTTGTCCTTGAGACACAGACAGACGCGCCTAACATAATATTCAATTTTTGATGACATGCGGGGCCAATAAAATCTGTCTCTAGCTAGAGCCAACAACCTGTCGGTGCCAAGATGGCCCATCGTGTAACTGTTGCATCATGAATTGGTGAGATGTCGCGGGCAGAACAAGTTGGTGACATTTTCCTTGAGGTGTTCGAGTGACGCGTTTCAAGAGCCCATCCTCATCGACTTGAAGTAACAACCATTCCTTTACTAGCCGACGACTGTCTGCACTAAAACCCTTCTTGTCTCTTTCGGTTGGGCGCTTTGCACGAGACACATAATTTTTAACAATACCAATATCTGGGTCATTGTCCTGTCCCTGCCTCAACTCTCTGATACTGAAATGTTCTTTTGAGGTTGACCACAGTGCTTCTTCCTTAAGTGGAACTTTCGGGTCAAGATTCGGTAATAACGTAACTCGCCGCTTCCTTGTGCTTTAACAACACTTGCAGTCATTTGAACGGTTTCGGGTGTCATTTCTTCAGAACATTCGCAGATGTATTTGCCAAAATCTAACGGCATCCGACTCAAACGTCTGCGTTCACATTCAATCGACCTGGTTTATACTTAACGGTAAAACGGAAGTCCGTCAGTTCTGTGACCCACCTAAGACGGGTTGCGTCTAACCTAGGTATTGACAATATATAACTCAAGGGATTGTTATCGCTTTAGACGGATGCGTAGTACAGGTAATCACGGAACCGCTCCGTAATGGCCCATTTTAGAGCTAAAAACTCCAACTTGCCAGAATGCATATGATAATTACTTTCAGCTGGCGTTAAAGTTCTAGAAGCATAAGCGACTACTCGGAACTGCTTGTTTTCATCCTCTTGATAAAGTATGGCCCCAAGTCCGTCACCAGAAGCATCAACGTGCAGTGCAAACGGATGGTCAAACCTCCGATAGGCCATGACAGGTGGTCTAACTAGGTGATCAATAAGCTGGTTTAGTATCGACTGATGCTCTCCTGTCCATTGAATCTTTTGGTTAGATGATAACTGACACTCTTAAGTTGCTTGGGTTTAAGTCCTTGACCGTGTTTTTCTTTACTCGGAACCTTTAGAAGATTGTACAGAGGTTTGGCCATCAGGGATGAACTTGCGATAGTAGCTAGTCAGGCCTAGCAGTTTTCTGACCTCAACGATATTTGCTGGTTTTTTTCGATCGTAGACATTCAATGGCTTCCTTGTCTGCCGGATCGACTGTGTAGCCATTAAATGTCACCATGTGTCCCAAATACCTGACTTGCTTGCAGAACATCTTGCACGTAGCTGGCTTAAGTTTAACCCCATACTTTCGCAGTCTATCAAACACTTGGTGTAAATGTTTCAGGTGATCTGAGAAAGTTGCACTGTAGACAAGAATGTCGTCTAGACAGGGCAGGCATATCTTTTCACGCAATCCCTCGAGGAATTCGTTCATGAAATTTTGGAACGCGGCCGGAGCTCCTGACAGCCAAAAAGGTATTCTTTTCCATTCGTATAAACCCCACGGGGTTACAAAGGCAGTGTAGGGCTCACTCCCTTCCTCCATCATTCCCTGATGATAAGCTTTCCCCTGATCTAGGATGGAGAACCATTGGCTACCGCCAAGACTGTCAAGAGCATCTTCAATCCGGCCGACTATCAGCGACTCTCTTCTGGTTGACCTTTCGATAGTCTACACAGAGACGCAAGGTGCCATCCTTTTTCCGAACACAAACCAAAGGGCTGCAATAAGGAGATTTTGATTTACGAATAAACCCCTTGTTTATCAAATCTTGCAAGTAGTCTTTAACCTCATTGTATAACGGGTTAGGAATGAACCGGTATGCATGACGTACCGGAATATCGTTCTTCAGCTGAAGATCCAGTTTCAAATTTGGGATGAAACCGATGTCGTAATTAGTTCTTGAAAAAACATCACAATACTCTTGCAACAACTTAACCACCTTTGCCTTCTGGTTGGCTGCTAGCAATTTATCGTCTAATTCGACTGATGGTATCCACAACTGTCCTTCGGATTCCACCTGTGCTGACATATCTTCATCTGGTTCCTCTAATTTTCCTTCTTCATGTTCCCGTACGTACATTTGCATTATGGAGGAAACT